ACACCAAACTGTCTCAAGAATAACTACATCATTCTCACGATCTATCTCCACTATGTCCAAAAAATCATGGCATTGTGATCCCCTATATCTGAATCTTCGTGTTCATCTTCGGTGACATTTTTCCTCACTAAAGTCACGCAAAGAGGAGTCTGCACATTTTGTTCACTTCAAATAGATAATTCACTTCAACATCAGATGCAACCTTCATGGGTAGAATTGGAATGGATGAATGCTCGTTGAATTGAAATATCAGTTCCATAGCGTACTAAGAGATATCGACTTTTAGCTTGTTTTGTAAATCATAGTACATTTCTACATATGATGTGCTCGATGTTATGGAAATTGGAATACCACTACCTATATCACTCGACCATTTCCATACATATCGATCTTTTTCGTCCAATTCAAAATCACCAAAATAACAAATTGGAATCACAATCATATCTACATGATGAAACATAATTTCTAATTATAAAAAAATAGTCGAAAAATTTGTCCACCCACTGACTGGACTATTAGGATTTAAAAAAAAAAAAAAAGCAGCATAACAGACGGCTGTTATGGCTGTTAGCCGGCTATTATAACCATGATATAAGCAAATAAATTTTTTTATTGTTTATACTTAAAAAAATTATATACATGTTAATGTATATCAAAATAAGATATATCGATTAAAAACGTATATTAATTTAACGAAAACGAAATTTAACATACATAAATATACTTTCCAATTCGAAATGATAGACGTAAAAAAAATTATTGTTCATTGTTTGATCAATTTCTGAGATTTTAAGGTTGAAACAGATGAAAAGTAAAGAGTTTTTGAATGTGTCGGAATAAACAAATAAAAAAAAGTTAGTTGGTTTTGAAATTTTAAGTGGGAAGTGTTTGATGTTTATTTGTTAACTAAAAGGGTAGTATTGTCTTTTAGATAAAAGTGGTTTTTTGTAATTGTATTGTTTACTAAGGATATCTTTGTATTTCACAATTCAAAAGATCATTATGAAAATATGCAATTATTGAAAATTCAAAGTGAAAATTAGAGGGTTTGACTATGCCAATTNTTTGAATTCTTTGTGTTCTCATTTGGTATTAATATTTTGAAGCATGCTTGATAGTTTGGGGAGTGTTTAACCATTAACCTGGGTAATTTTTCTACATTTGTTTGATAATTTTTGGCTTATAAATAATTTTTCTGGAACAAGGATTATATGGATAAATCAAGAAGATTGTCTTAACACCCCCCCCCCCCCCCCAAAAAAAACCATTTTCTATACTTTAAGTTTATTTATTTATTTTATTTTTAATTGATAAAGTTTTATAACGAGAACAATATATCCCTGTTCTATGCAGTAAATTATAAGTATCTCCTTATTACAATTTGAAAAAAAAAAAAAACATATTTTATTAAAAGCAAAACCTATTAAAAAACCGTGGGCTCTCCTTTGTAAGGGAGGCTGTACATCGAGTAGCATAACCTATTAACTTTGCTTATTTTGAAGCATTCATCAGTGCACACACACACACATAAACTTAAGAGTAAAATTCTCACTTAAAAAATATATATATTTTTTCGGATCTATGAATAAGCAATTACCCAACAGTTGAACCATTGATCCATCGGTTAAACTAGTAACCCGGTGACCTGATGACTTATCCGAGTCAATGATTGGATCGGGCCTGATAACTATGACATCAATATTTCAATTGTCTGTGTAGCCGAGCTCGTTAGCTGGCTCAACCCATCGACACCTCAACCAAGAACCAAACTGAACCTTTGTTGATTTTAATATTTAAAAAAAAAAAATGTTTCAAACCAAATGAGACCGAACCAGATAGTTCGGTTCTGTACGATCCGATACTCTTGTACACCCGGACCACCACTATTTTTTTCTACTGAATTAGTTTGGGTGTTTCTGGGGAAAGTTCAAAACTTCCCAAAAGTCTTCATTCAATTACCATTAAAGATTAAACAATTTATAAATAGAAAAATGCAAGCAAATGGATTCACATTTCAGTATCAATCCAGCTTTCAGTCTCCTTCTCAAACTATCAAAAGAAAAAAAGAATATTCAAAGTCAACTTTCTCTTTATTAATTTTCCATGGAAAATCATCATCATCTACATACATATACAGACAGTCTATATAAACATGTTAGGGTTCATGAAGAAATAGAGTGAGAATGGTGGATTGAGCCCATAATCTTCTGTAGATCGGTTTGCATTTACCATATATCTTGCAGGTGAGTTTAAATTATTTGCATTAGATGAATTTGGATTATCTTTTTCTGATTAAGATTTCATTAATCTAACCCTATCATTAAATTTTTGACTGAATTTATTATCAGGCCATAATCCTAATTGAAAAAAAAATGCATTCGGCAAATCACTGGGGAGGATCATTGGAAATCAATGGAGGCGATTCAACTACGGAAGATGAGAGGAGTCGAAACATGGATTGGGATAGGGCATCGATTTCTCACCAGCAGTATCAACACAATCTGGATGAAACGCAACAGAGCTGGTTATTAGGTCCGCCGGAGAAGAAGAAGAAGAAATACGTAGATTTGGGTTTCGTTGTGTGTAGCCGGACGGCATTGAAATGGACGTTTTGGGGATTTGTTGCTGCGTTCGTTGTGATTGCACTTCCAATCATCATAGCGAAAACGGTGCCGAAGCACAAAAGCCGGCCGCCACCGCCAGATAATTACACGGCGGCGCTTCACAAGGCGCTGCTATTCTTCAACGCCCAAAAGTGTACGTCGATTTTCTTCTACGTCCTTTTCGTTTATTGTTTATTCTTGGAATCGGTCAATTCATTGTTTTTATCTGATTCGTTCAAAAATCTTAAATATGAAAATGATGTGCGAAGAAATAGCATATCAATCAAGGGGAGGGTGCATGAGCATTGCTTGTTTGGGATAGCTTGATATCAAAGTCGACAATTAATTTTAATTATGGACTTTACAACTTTTGAACTATACATATTATCAAAATTTGCTAAAATCTTTATCAAAATCTTCATAAAAAAAAAGCCTTGAATGTAAAGAATTAGTGCTTTAATTGAACATGAGTGATACAATATTGTCAAAAATCAGATCAAAAGATTCAATTTGGGAATCTAATTGGCATTCGCCCAATTCTAGGTAAAAAAAAAAAGTACTGTTATCTAATACGAGCTGATTTAACACTGATTTGTCATGTATTTAACACTAGATGTCAACACATGATATCGTCAATGAAATGGGCCCAATGTCGAACACATGATAGACTAGTATTAATCATTGGTACTAAATAACGTTAATCAAGTAAAAATCTCAAAAAATTGATAACAATCTAAATAAGGATGAAAAATGATGCAAGTACAGAAAGAAAATGACAGAATTTTTCCAGATTTTTGAATTTCTCTCACATAAGGAGGCGGGGCCCATGTGAATTAAATATCGTTAAAAACAATGGGACCCACGTGTTATGTGTATTTTGTATAATTTCTGTAAAAAAATTCCATGTACCCATAGAGTGATTGAATAAGGATAGTCACCTCATGTTTTTTCATTATTTACCATCGATTCGATGTTGATTCAATTCTTTAAATTTTAACTTTTACAATTTTTTGGTTGATGATCCGAATAGGTTTTTAAAATATTGATTTAGTTATATATATTTTTAAAAAAAATCTTATTCCACTATGCTAAGTCGTAATAATGATAGTGATTTGAGAACTGCATGCCACTAAGTCAATACTAGAAGTAGGCAATACGTGTGGGCCAGTATTAACATAAAAATAGACAAATGTTATTCTTTTTATATCACTTCACGACTAAAAAAATTAAAATTGGATGGAATTAAAATTGACATTATCACTCAAAAATCATTAATTAATATTTTTCTTATTCACTTCCAATTTTACCCTTGTTTGAGCCCATTTTAAGGGAAAAAAAACGTGTTTTTAAATAGTGATTTTTTGGAGGATGTGTGGTTAAAAAGTAAAAAAATGTTTTTTATTTATGTGTAAAAAATATTTTATTAGAGAATGAATTTTGAAAAAAAATGAATTTTTGACAAAAATTGGCTCAAACAAGGGTTAAGTCCCATTTGATTTTGCTAAAAATTAGATTTTTGGCATATTTTAATAGAAAATGATAAAACGTATAGTTGAAAAGTTGATAAAAATTGTAGATCTTATGAAATGTGGTTAAAATTAATCGTTGACTTTGATTTAAATTAAAATCTGAATTTTAATTTCTACCAAACAAGGGCTCAAATAACTCAACAAAACCAATGAAGTTATTTATGGAGACTTCATTGACATAATTATATAAGTTTGCTGCCTTGTCCGAATTTCCATCGGGAAAAATTAGTTGGAATTTTACTTGCTTTAAATGGCTTCACCACCCACAAGAAGTTGGTTGCCACTATTCTCATGGGCCACAACTACTTCTGTTATCATGTCTATACTCAACTTGCATTACTCTCAAATGAGACATACACGATTCGTCTAGTCTCTTTAGATTCGTNATCTAGTTGAGTGTTTCTCTGCACAAATGCACACGTACATAGTGCTTATATTTTGAGAGTGCTTATATTTGCTCTTTCTTTTGTCTCTTAAATTTTCCTTTTTCAAGAAATATTTATTGATTTCTCCTCATTTTTTATTAAATATTATTTTTATACATTGTTGATTAAACAATTAAAATATAATTCAAATAATTTGTGAAAATAGAGATTGAAATATGTAACATATTAGCACACTCTATTTTAAGAACTTGTCCTTTCAATCTTATTTTTAAACAGTAACTCTTTAAAACAAAGAATATCTTGAGATTAGAAATTAAGTATAAGGTGGTTAAGCTTAAAACGTGCTTTAATTTATTTTAATTAACTTTTATTTTCAGATATGTTTGAATATTTTGCTTTTTTTATTTTTTTTGAATTCCATTTTTTTTCTTATTTATAAGTAAAAGAAATTATTTATTTTAACATTATTATAAATTTTAATTTCAGAATAAATAATTTTTTTTTTTATTTCCAATTGTTTCCCTCATTTTAATGAAGATTTTTGACCTTCACAGATTTTATGACTGCAACTTTTGACCTTCTTGTTTCACATGGAGACCCACTGTTTGAAAATAAACGGTCAAAAAAGTAATTATTTAGGCTCCATTAATGAAAAGCAAACAGGGACTTTGTAACAAGTAAATTTTCTAAACTTTAATCAATTTAAATAGGCTCAGTATGTCAGTAACCAATTTAAATAGGTTCAAGGTCAAATCAGTGCTCGAGTTTTCCAAATCTCTTCATTCATGGACATTATTTTTTTTTAAACATGATATGTCGTAAAAAAAAAAAAAAAAGAAAGTATTGTTATTTGAATTTCACCATTTTATATTGTTTCTATTAAGGGATAAAATCACAATTCGAATAAAAATGAAAACATAGACCAAATTATAAAGAATTAGGCCACCCCTCTTAATAAAATTGATATTTTAAGATGTAATCTCAAATCATTATATGGTATCAAATACATTAAACTCCAATGAACAATTCAATCAAATTAAAACTCAAAAAATAAACTCGTGAATTTCAAGATTGGTCTGCTTAAATATCATCATGTGGGAGCATGTTAAACGATAAAATCTCATTGAATAGAGATGAAAATGTAGATCAACTTATAAGAGTTTGAGCTACTTATTTTAATAAGATTAACATTTTAAGATGAAATCCGCTTCAAGGAGCAATTGGATCCGATTAAAACTCAAAAAAATATTAAAACCCTATTTGAGCCACATTAAAATTTACATTCTCATTCTTTTACTCATTTTCAATCACACATTTTTCATTAAAATAATATTTTTCATCACATCAATAACTTTTCATTCTTTTTCAACCACATATTCTCCATCAATCTACTATTTCAAAATACATTCTTCCAAAATAATGTGGGCCAAACACACCCTAAGTNTTCCAAAATAATGTGGGTCAAACATACCCTAAGTGATAAAACTTCATATCAAATAAAGATGAAAACACAGACCAACTTATAAAATATTGTGTTATTCCTCTTAATAATATTGACATTTTAAGATGAAACTCCAAATTTTAATTGTTTCTCCTTTTTGTCTTATTATTAAACCAAATTCTTTCGTAGGAAAGTTGTTTTTGTGTTTAATTGGAATTGTGCGCATGCGTGGAGTTGGCAGGAATACTTTGTGTATATGCAACACAATTTATATTCTTGCTGATTTTTAATTTCCGTCCAATCAAATATTTTTTTTTAAAATTTTGGGACATTTGCTATATTTTTTAATCATTAATAATGCGTAATATTAACGGTTCAATCGTTAGCAATTAGTGTAATTTCACCATTTTATTTTTGTTTGATATCATAATAGTTTCCGAATCAACATATTATTAATTTTAATTTGTTTTCTGTATTCTCTCAACTGTATAATAATAATAATAATAATAATAATAATAATAATTCCCTAGAAATTTCTATCAGAATCTTGACGAAGCGTGAACTAGTTTTGGAAAAAACCGATAAATGGACAATATATTCTTGAAAATCCATGTCCCTGTTAGCAGTTATATTTTAAACTGAAATATTAAATTCTCAAATATTCCATAATTGCTTGAGATTTTAACAAGTGAAAATGTTTTGCACTTGTGCTTTATGTTTGTGTACTGTAATTCATGTCGTAAAGTTTGACAAAGTTTTGCGTTTATTGTGATGACATACCTCAACCTTCCTCATTTTCGAACTTGAGACCGGCTACCAATCGCATAAGCGAAATTGTTGCATGGAGAAAAATTTATACGTCCCTCTAGTTTTAGAACAGTGCTTCTTGTAAATAAGTGATTACATAATATTTTACATATAGATGAGATGTCAAAAAGAGAGAGAAATTTTATTTATTTTTTATTTGGTTGAAGAAATTCCGATTCAATCATATATCACCACATCATGTATATGTAAACCTATTATTATATACATGTAGCACAACCACTAATTTTATTATGGAGAAACTTATTTTATTAGGATCTTGCTACATGTACATCAAAATTTACATAATGAATTACATAATGTCACATGACACTTTAACATTTCTTAGTTTAAAACACAATCAACTTTTCCATCCAGTCTTTTCCCTCCGCATCATATTATGTAATACATTATGTACATTTTTTATATACAAGTGGCAAAATCCATTTTTGATTGTACCCTCTCTCCAAATATAAGTTTGTGCTTGTCTGTCTTTCATACGAAGGTTACTTCTATAATGACAAGATGAGGATAGAAAGTTACAAATTTCCAGCACGCAAGTAATAATTTCTTTGAGATAATGAATTCACGAATCTAGAAATAATTTCTTCGTGGGTACATGAATGCAGCTGGGAGGTTGCCAAAGAACAAGGGGATATCTTGGAGAGGGAACTCAGGATTACAAGATGGATCAGATGCCACGGATGTTAAAGGAGGGCTTGTTGGAGGGTATTACGATGCTGGAGACAATACAAAGTTTCACTTTCCAATGTCATTTGCTATGACTATGCTCAGTTGGAGTGTTATTGAATATGAGCACAAGTTTCGTGCTATCGGAGAATATGATCATATGAAAGACCTAATCAAATGGGGCACCGATTATTTACTCCTTACTTTCAACTCTTCTGCTACTAAAATTGACAAAATTTACAGCCAGGTAAGTATAGTTGATTAATCTCGAGTTAATTGGCTTATATGGTAGAGTTTGGGAAGTCGTCAGGACCAAAAAAGGAAATCGTGAATATGTGAATAAAACTTAGATAATAATTAGTGTATCGATTTTATGGCTACCTAGGTTGGTGGATCACAAAATGGTTCAAGAACACCAGATGATCATTACTGTTGGCAAAGGCCAGAAGACATGGACTACACCCGGAAAACTCAAACAGCTAATTCAGGGCCGGATCTTGCTGGAGAAATGGCAGCAGCATTGGCATCAGCATCCATAGTTTTCCGGGATAATACCGCGTACTCCAAGAAACTTGTCAAGGGTGCAGAAACAGTGTTCAAATTTGCTAGAGACTTTGGCAAAAGAACATCATATTGCCGTGGAAATCCCTTTATAGAACCCTTTTATAATTCCAGTGGTTACTTTGATGAGTACATGTGGGGTGCAGCTTGGTTATATTATGCCACTGGAAACAATACTTACTTTTCACTAGCAACAAATCCTGGTTTGTCTAAGAATTCGAAAGCATTTTATATGATACCAGATTTGAGTGTCTTAAGTTGGGACAACAAGTTGCCTGCAGCCATGTTGTTGTTGACAAGGATAAGAATGTTTTTGAGCCCTGGATACCCGTACGAGGATATGTTGAAGAGTTATCACAACGTGACTGAACTTACTATGTGTTCTTACCTTGAAATGTTCCATGTTTTCAACTGGACTCGAGGTAAGAATCTTCCATTTTCGTATGATTAATATTGGAAATTTATATGATGTCTGGGAACTTAGACTAAAACACTCGTTTTTGGGCCGTGAAATGTGTAGGTGGGTTGATTCAACTCAATCATGGACAAGGACAACCTTTGCAATATGTAGCAAATGCAGCCTTCTTGACATCTCTCTTTATTGATTATATGAATGCTACTGGAGTTCCAGGGATAACTTGTGGTCCGCGATTTATCACTCTCAATGATCTCAGAAAGTTTGCTGTTTCTCAGGTATGGTTGATTATCGGACCATTCTTATCTAAATTGAACTAGTTGGGGAAGATTTATATGAATAATGCTCCTTGGACATGAGCAATGACAGGGATGGGTGACAGGGTGGTGTGGCAGACAATGATTGGATGTTTTTTTTTTTTTTCAAATTGTCCAATTATGTATTTGACACGTGTTCCCTCTGTCATTGAGCCTATCACTGTAGCAAGATTGAATTTATATATCTAGGCTCATATACTTCTTGGTTGCTTGCTTGCTTTTGTCCCAATTGCTTATTCCAAGTTTTTCGGTGGAATCAATCAGGATGGTCCCAGTTCCAAACCATTGAACTTTTTAATGGTTAAAAAAATCACAGTTTCGATCGAAGTTATAACTGTCATGGTAAAATTTCCATAACACTTATTTCAAGAGAGTTTTTAACCATCGTGACAAGTCTTTCACAAAGGTTAGAAAGTCTATTTTCGCGTAGTAAACAATCTGATTTCGACTCGGTCCTAAAAATGAAACTTTTACATACTTGGTTTTGCTTTTAATTTTTATATCCTGCTGTCATATGACAATTTACATTTTTAAGTTCTTCTAATCTATATTACTCTCACTGCACAAGCAGATCAATTACATACTTGGAGCAAACCCGATGAATATGAGCTATGTAGTCGGACATGGATCCAAATATCCGAAGCATGTTCATCACCGTGGAGCGTCGATACCTAATAATAACGTCAAATATTCCTGCACGGGTGGATGGAAGTGGCGCGATGCCAAAAATCCCAATCCTAACATCATTACTGGTGCCATGGTTGGAGGTCCCGATAAGTTCGATAAATTTAAGGATGTAAGAACAAACTATAGCTATACTGAGCCTACATTGGCTGGAAATGCAGGGTTGGTTGCTGCACTAGTGTCTCTAACAAGTAGTGGTGGTTATGGCATAGATAAGAATACAATTTTCTCGGCCGTGCCGCCATTATATCCAGTCAGCCCACCGCCACCCCCACCGTGGAAGCCTTAGAGATAGGCTCTAGAGTTCTTGCATCCTCCGCATATAAAGTTGTCAATTGCATTATTTTCTTTGTGATGAACCCTTGTGTAACTTTGGGAACTCTTCTTATTTACAGTTGATACATATTTTATATACTTTTATGGTGCAAAACTCTCACTTCTGTTAATAAATACATTAGTAAAATATTGGTATACTATATTAATTTGATTTATATGTGTGTCTGCAGATATATTTATAAATTAAAGATTTCTAATATACATATACGTACTTATTTGTGAGTTAATACGCTTATTAAATATAGTAGTAAAAATTTAAGATTTTTTGTTCTAAAACGTGTAAAAGAATATTCAAGGGTCTTCATGATCAGATTTCTTATGTTATTAGTGTGTGGCAATATTAGTATAAATTCTTCGATTTTATAAAGCTATTCTCTTTGCTATTAATAAATTTGTTAAGTTTCGAACCGTAAACCTTCAAATGTTCAAAGTTGTGCTTCCAAAATTTAAAGAAAAACGTGTTCCTAAAACGTGTTTCTCTTAATTGATACTTTTAACTGGATTATGACACTTGACACCTTCGTGACTGTTGGATTAACTTCTGGATGGTTCTGGTCTTATATTTTGTTTGGAGGCCATTGACTCTTCACTTCTTCAAGACTTTTGTGTTGGTTTTTGAGAGCTCTTCGTTCGTTGTTAGGGTTTCTCATTCTTTGGATCACACTTGCGAGAAAATCTCTTTGAAGCATTGAAATACTTTAGATCGTTAGCCTATTCTGTTGTTCTTAGATATTTGAGTGAAGAATGTGTGTGATTCTTCTGGGTTGTACATTTCTATAAGGGTCTCAGTATTTTGTTGTGACTTCTTGGTGGCTAGTTTTTCCATTTGGAGTTTTCTTTGAAGTCTTTCTGTAGCTTAATTTTTTTAATATTCGGAACCTATTGTATCTTGGCTGTCATTTTTTGGCTTTATAATGCAACCGAGCTTTATTCATTTACAATGGATGCTCAATATGGGATTAGGCGTTAGAAACGGTAGCTGAACCTTTGGGGCTAAGGTTGAAATAATTCTTTGTTTTGATTTTTTTGATTTCTGCAAGTTTTTGTTTCATACTTTATTTTTGGGTTTAGATCTTTGCTGGTCTTTTCTGGACTTTTCAATGGTATCAGAACCTGGATTTTTAAATTACCACACCAAATATTTGAGGAAACTGTGGGTCTAAAACCTATCTTAAAGTTGTGTGAACTTTATTGAAGGAATCTGAGTTTTATTAAACTCATTTGGTGAGATCTTTTTTGAAAAAAATATTTAACCTATGATTCTAAATTTTAGGGTTTCTTGATTTTTCCCTTGATTTACCTTACACAAATACCTCCCTGAGAATTGTCTTTGTCCAAAGGCTCTTGTGAGGCCTTGAGAATCTGAGATAAACTCAATATAGGTGTGTAACCGAAGGATCTTGAAGGAGAAATCTATGAAACATAGAAATTGTGATCTCTGACTATGATTCTTTTTCATACTTTGTGTTGTATGTTCACTGATTGAGTACATACTTTCGTGTGCACTACTGTTGACTTAACTGTTTTCTGTTAAGTTTCATTTCCCATTGTGTGTCTCTCATTGTCTCTAATTCAAATGTGCTTATCATCTTGATAGGAGGGGGGATTTTAATATGTGGTGTCAAAAGATGAAAACTATTTTGATGAAATGAAATATGTTATGGCCTTAGATGATTCTTGGCCTGAAAATATGACTGCCTCTGAAAAGAGTGAATTGGAAGAAATAGCATAGAGTATTATTTTTTGTATCTTTCTGAAAATGTGATTAGAACCATTGGTGAAACTAAAACTGCTGCAGAACTTTGGACCAAATTGAAGGCTCAATATGATACCAAAATTGTTCATAACAAGTTTTACTTGATGAGACAGTTCTTTTCTTTTAAAATGGATCATTCTGTTGACTTGGAAGAGAACTTAAATAGATTTACTAAACTGGCCCAAGACCTTGCAAACTGTGATGAAAAACTTTCAAAAGATCAGTTAGCTGTGTTTTGTTGAACTCCATCAGTAACAGACATAGAGACCTCAGGAATGCTCTAGAATATGGTAGAGCTGAACTCACTACTAAAATTATTACTAATGCCCTTAGGAATAGAGTTCTTGAGCTTGAATTTGAATCTATTAACAACCAAAGTGGAGAAAATCTTTTGACAAAATGCAAAAGTGTTGGTAAATCAAATTTTCACTAAAAATCTTCAAATGATTTTAGAAAGAAATGTAGTGATAAAAACAAATCCAAGGATAAGGCAAAAGGAAAGAAATGTTACTATTGTGGGAAAATGGATCATTTTGTAAAAGACTGTTTTAAAAAGCAAAATGATTTAAAAGAAAAGAAATCTAATGAGGGTAATGTTGTGTTGGCCTATGATAATATGAAAGTTGATAATGGACTAGTTCTTGTAAATGTGGAAAAGAACATAAATCAAGAATGGATTCTTGATTCAGGTTGCTTATTCCATGTGTCCAAACAAATGTCATCTTTTGGAGATTTTGATAAAAACCAAAGGAGGACAAGTTATTATGGAAAACAATATGACCTAAAAGGATTTGGAACAATTAAATTGCCTTTAGAAAATGGAAAATTTTACTTCTTAAGGACACTAGATTTGTTCTTGAACTTGAAAGAAACTTAGTGTCTCAAAATATGTTATATGACATAGAGATTGACGTTAAACTGGGTCAAGGACATATCAAAATCTTTAGGGGTAGTGATTTAATCACTTCCATCTTGAAGAGACATGGTCTTTATTTCCTCGATGCTAAACCTCTAATTGGTCTGCTGCCGTAGCTTTCAATGATAATTTTAATCTTACAAATTTATGGCATGATATACTTGATCACATTGGAAAGAAAAGCTTAAAGTCTTTGCAAATTAAAGGAGTACTTAGGAAAATAAATATTGGTGAATTTTCGATTTTGAACAATGTTTGAATGGTAAGCAAGTCAAACCACCTTTTATTGTTGGAACTCATAAAACAAAGCAAATTCTGGAATATTTACATGTTGATTTGTGGGGTCCTACATTTGTATCAACTTTGTCTAGTTTTAAAAACTATCTTCTCATTATTTACGACTTTTCTAGAAAATTTTGGGCATTCCTATTGAAAACAATAGATGAAACTTTCATTATCTTTAAAGAATGGAAAACCTAGATTGAAAATTAAAACTTTGAAGACTAACAATGGTTTGGAATTTTACAATTATGAGTTCAATATTTTTTGTAAATTGCATGGCATCTTAAGACATAGAACTGTTGATGAGAACCATGGTACGAGAGCTATTGTGGAGAAAGGACCAATGACGAGATCACAGGCAAAGAAGGTCAAGAAAGCTATGAGATTGCTTACTCAAGCTACAGTGGACAAAACATCGATCACAACAAGTAAATGAACAAATTTCATATTGGGCTTGGAAGAAGGAATAAGATGAATCAACTTGGTTCAAGCAATGAACAATGGAGCTGAATTGAAGACATATGTGACCGCATATTATATCCAGGCATGCGACTGTATATCTCCATACCAAAACCAAACTAAAGGCCATTAAATGGTCTTTACGACCGCATAGTACATTTCTGGACGAGTTTTTTCCAAAATTTGCCTAAACTTCTATTTTAGTTAAAACTTTTTGTTGGTATCTTTTTTATATATATATTAAGATCAATTCCGTTTTTAACTAGGTTTTATGGATTATATATAAATAGGATTATTCTTTTTATTGTAAAAACACACAATTTGAGAGATATTATTGCAAAGTATATTGCTTCTCGTTCTTTATCAAATTAATTCTGAATTTATCAAGAAATAAATTCTTGTGGAGTTCAACAATTCAAGTAAGGTTCATAAACTTTGTGATCAAGGGGTCAAGATATTGTTACAATTTTCTTGGTTCTTTGGGTCAATAATTTATTGGGTTGAGTTTCTTTCAAACGTTGATTCTTGGAATTCTTGGGCTTGTTCTAATCTGTTGTGGATTTCGTAGCTTTAATCGCTACGTGGGTTCACATCTACTGTGACATACACTCATCAACAAAATGACATTGCTGAAAGAATGAATAGGACTTTATTAAACAAAGTTAGATGCATGCTTTTAAATTTTGGTTTGCCCAAATTATTTTAGGGTGAAGCTTTTAAAAGCGTTGCATATCTTGTTAATAGGAGTCCTACTATTGCTTTAAGTTTCAATGTGCCTGAATCTGTGTGGACATAAAAGCCTGTTGATTATTGTTATTTGAAAGTTTTTGGTTGTGCTACGCATGCTTGTCAAAATATAGGAAAACGTGAACTTAGATCATTTAAATGTGTGTTTTTGGGTGAATCTGTGTGGATATAAAAGCCAGTTGATTATTGTTATTTGAAAGTTTTTGGTTGTGCTACGCATGCTTGTCAAAATATAGGAAAACTTGAACTTAGATCATTTAAATGTATGTTTTTGGGTTATGCTAAAAACATAAAAGGGTAAATGATGTGGATTAAAGGAAAAAGAGGTTATAGAGTTATAATTAGAAGAGATGTTGTTTTTAATGAATCTAGTATGCCATGTTTGGAAGGAAAACCAGAAAACTTGATTGAAAATGATGTTCAAATTGAGGTGGAGCCTGATCACTTGGATAAGACTGATCATGTACCTACAGAGGAAGGAGTTGGTCATATTGATGAAAATATTTTAAATGAAACTGATCGTGATCAAGAAACAAATCAATCTGACCAAACTAATTCTACAACTTTGCTTCTTGATGAGTATCAGCTCACAATATACAAGCAAAGAAGGCAAATCAGGTCTCGTGCTAGGTTTAACAGTGATGATTTTGTTTCTTTATTTACTTATCAAGAAGAAACTGAAACTGAACCACGCTCCTATGATGATGCCTTAAATTGTAAGGATTCTAAAATGCGGTTGGCTGCTATGATAGAAGAAATGGCTTCTCTTTACAAAAATAAAACATTGGAATTG